TTTATTTGAATTAGAAACAAGATTGTTTTACATGTCAATCCTAGTTCCCTCTCCCTCCCCTCCTCCCCTATCCCCCCAACTAAAACCTTACCTATACCATACCCTTTCTGCTCCCCAGGGAGGGTGAGGCCTTCCATAGGGGGCTTCAGGGTCTGTCATATCCTTTGGGATAGGGCCTAGGCCCACCCCGGTGTGAGTATTCCTCTATGTGGAATGGGCTCCCAAAGTCCACACCTATGCTAGGGATAAGTACTGAACTACTACAGGAGGTTCCTTAGATTTCCGAGGTTTCCTCAATGAAATCCATGTTCCTGGGGTCTGGATCAGTCCCATGCTGGTATTCCAGCTATCAGTCTGGGGACCAAGAGCTCCCGATGTTCAGGTCAGCTGTTTCTGTGGGTGTCACCAGCACCCCTTTGACCATCACTCGTTCTTCTCTGCAACTGAATTCCAGTTCATTTCTGTGAGTAGTTGTGGGTGTCTGCTTCTACTTCCACCAGCTGCTGGATGAGGGCTATCGGGTGGCATATAAGTCATTGATCAATCTCATTATCAGGAGAGGGTATTTAAGGTAGCCTCTCCTCTGTTGCTTAGATTGTTAGTTGGTGTCATCTTTGTAGATCTCCAAACATTTCCCTAGTGCCTGATTTCTCTGTAAACCTAAAATGGCTCCCTCTAATATGGTATCTCCATTCTTGTTTTCTTCAATTCTTTCTGCTCGCTCATGTCTTCCTTGGTGATGATTTCTGAAAGCTGCATCCCTGAAACTCTGCAGGGTTTCAATTTAGAGAAAACAGCTACATAAGAGCCACTTACAATAAGACTAGACACCAGGTGGCTGGGTGTGGGAGGACTGGAGGGAGGGAAGGATGTGATCAGGATATATTGTATGAGAGAAGACTAAATAATTTTTTAATTAAAAACAAAAACTAAGGAAATTAAAAATAAGTCATTTACAAAAAAACAACATATGTATGAGGAACTGCTGAGTCTCTCTTAATTCAAACACAAAATGTCCCACAGGCCAATTCAGTTCAGGTACAAGTTCACAAAAGTAGCCTCAGTATTTCTCCCTGTTCATTCCATGCCCCAGGGAACTCATTAAGACGCAGGACAAGTCCAGCGGGTACATTCTGGCCAATCTGCAGCATCAGCTGTTGCCCCAGGATGGAGACAGCAGCTTGAGCTCTGGGTGAAGCCTGAGGCTGGGGATTAGAGGGGGAAGGTATGAGTGAGGAGTAGGGCAAATGGTTGGTCTAGACAATGGCGTCTTCTTCCTCATTCAGAGGACCTGATAAGAAAAAACAGGCGC